GCAATCTTCTCAACAAGCAAATACAAGCTAATGTCACACATTTTGTTCAAAAAGTCAAAAAATCGAGGAAAAGAAAAAGCCTGTTAAGTAAAAAACATGAAAACGTGTGACTTAGGCAAAATTAAGGCATCCCGCTGGACTATCAATTCAAAAGAATTAGTTCAGGAAAAAGTTAGGGAAAATAAAATTGCAAAGAAAAGGACTGCAAAGAAAAGTCCTCAGCAAAGAACCAATTGGTGACTACAAACACGAAGACATGAGGGTGGTTTCTACTCCGAAAGCCTCGTCGTTTCCTTGACCGTCACAAAATCCTTTTGAGAGATGAACACTCATGTTGAATTAACTGAACATAGGGTTGGAGAACATCATGAAGGGGGTGGGCACCAAATATTTTGAGCCTTAAATCCTTTTTTCTAAAACCATGAACCAGACCACGTTACAACCTTCAAAAGTTCTGATTGAAGCAAGGTTATTTTGAAAGCATACTTCCATGAGATAGTGTTCCTGACTCCCATGAACGATTGTTAAATAGTTATATTGGTATCATATGTTTTTCCTATACAAAAATAAATGATGCTCTAACTCGCAAAATTTGTGATATATCTTTTCAAAATCTTCAAGACTTACATAACTGTTGCATTAGAATTTTCATTCTCATAATAAAATTTTCTAACTGCAAAACATTTATTTGATATCAAGGAAACTCACATATAAGCACCAGTGATGAGTTTATTCTTTTAAGGCTTGAAACTATGTTGAGTAATTGGCGAATCACGTCAAGAAAAATCATATGCAAGGGCATGCCACCTGAAGACCGTAAGCACGAACATGTTGCTTCTCCCAGTTAATGCTTTTCTCCAACTTGTTTACTCTTTTGGGGAAATATTTGAAGACTTTGTTGTGCCAACTACAGTCAATCCGGGGCAATCACGTCGAGATTTGATGAATTCCTCTAAGAGTTTGAAGACACCAGAGCATGGTGAATGCCAGGTCTTTTGTAAAATCCTCTTGAGACGATTTCTCCTCATCAACCAGATAGCATGGGGCATTTTAGAAGTGAAGTTATTCGCAAGAATCGTCGAGTATCACGCAGCTTATCAGCAATAAGCTTGGGGCATCCAAAATTAATCCCAGGGGCAATCCAGATTTGTCAAGATATGTTTTTAATACATTATCAGAGGGTGGTGTTTCCAGTATCTCCAGCTAAGCAAGACTTCTTTCCAGCTGAAACTTTGTTTGTGTTGTTATCCTTTCAATGGATTGTTTGCAATAGAAGACTGGACTTTGGGTTTTCTACCTGAAAATATCTTCCTCTCCAGAGATATTTAAGCCTTGTAAAAGGACCTTGCTCCAATGATGGCCTGTGTTTTATCTCCAGTAATGTTCCCATCCTGATGAGATTAGCCGAGTGTTGGGTTTGTGCTGTGATGTCTTATCATCTTCGGTCTATCTCCCCTGTCTGTTTTGTCAGCATATACATGACATTCATTTATTCATTCACACTTGCATCATGCACGCACAGTTGTATTTGTTGATGCCACTGAGTTCGTATACCTTGGTTGTGTCTATTCAAATAGTGTATTTGATCTTTCCAAATAGAGTGTCAACTCAAGCAGAAAGTGTGCCTCCTTTCTAATTCCCCACTGAGTTAACTCTCGTGGAAGAATCTTGCTTTAGCTTTCCTTTTCCATCTCTGGATAGGATAAATCCCCATTTGAGTTGTTTCCTCATTGGGTGGAGTCTTGTTTGACTGTTTTCTCTCCAGTTTATTCCTGGATTGAGCTTTGTCTCTTGTGAACGATACCCTGTGGATCTCTCTAGGCTGTGAAACCTAGATGGAGAGTGCATTTATTTTGCAACGTAAAGACTTGGTCTCCTCAAGAAGGATTTATTCATGGTTCCCCATTGAAGATGAACTTTATTCCCCAGTAGTGTTATCACAACCTTCTTCTGGAATATCGACATGACAACAAGCGACTGACTTTTTATTTGAACAGTTTGGTTATTTCTGATTTCTTTATGACAAATGGCGGTCTCTTCATGAGCAGTTTGTCCATCCCCAATGAAATTATTGGCTCTCACCTCCAGCAATATCTTCACGATATTTTATGGGTATCTTTTGGGAAACAGCAAGCGGCAGTCTCTTCATGAGGAAACTTGTGTGTTATGGATACTCTTGACAAACAGCAAGCGGCGGTCTCTTCATGAGCAACTTGTGTGTTATTTTTTCTCTTGAAAAACATCAAGCGGCAGTCTCTTCATGAGGCAACTTGTGTGTTATGGGTACTCTTGACAAACAGCAAGCGGCGGTCTCTTCATGAGCAACTTGTGTGTTATTTTTCTCTTGACAAACAGCAAGCGGCGGTCTCTTCATGAGCAACTTGTGTGTTATTTTTTCTCTTGAAAAACATCAAGCGGCAGTCTCTTCATGAGGCAACTTGTGTGTTATGGGTACTCTTGACAAACAGCAAGCGGCGGTCTCTTCATGAGCAACTTGTGTGTTATTTTTCTCTTGAAAAACATCAAGCGGCGGTCTCTTCATGAGCAACTTGTATGTTATTGATACCTTGAAAGAAACAGCAAGCGACAGTCTCTTCATGAGCAACTTGTTTGTTATTGTCACCTTTGAAAACAACAAGCGGCGGTCTCTTCATGAGCAACTTGTATGTTATTGGTAATTTTGAAAAGAAATAACAAGCGGCAGTCTCTTCATGGACAACTTGTATGTTATCAACACTTTTAAAAACAGCAAGCGGCAGTTTCTTCATGGACAACTTGTATGTTATCAATACTTTTTTTGAAAACGGCAAGTGGCAGCTTCTTCATGAGCAGCTTGTACGTTAGTATTTTTGGAAGACAGCAAGTGGCAGCTTATCTATTTGAGCAACTTGTGTGTTATTGTTCCCTTGAAGACAATAAGTGGCAGCTTCTTCATGAGCAGCTTGTGAGTTATTAGCAACAAGTGGCAGACTCTTCATGAGCAGCTTGTGTGCTTTGATATTCTTTGAAGACGGCAAGTGGCAGCTTCTTTATGAGCAGCTTGTGGGTTTTTGGCAACAAGTGGCGGACTCTTCATGAGCAGCTTGTATGCTGTAATTTTATTTGAAGACAACAAGTGGCGGTCTCTTCATGAGCAGCTTGTATGCTGTAATTTTCTTTGAAGACAACAAGTGGCGGTCTCTTCATGAGCAGCTTGTATGTTATTGGCACCTTTGAAAGATAGCAAGTGGCGGCCTCTTTATTTGAGCAGCTTGTGTACCCCCAACAATAATGTCTACTCAACAAATGGCATCCCTTCGGAAAAGTCCCGTGGGGATGTTTGTTATTTTATCCTTTTCAAGCGATATCTTGGTTAAAGAAGAAATGTGTTACCGTTCTTGGTAAAATTCAGAAATCAGAGATGTTTATCTCCAGCCACAGTGCTGATGTCAATCATTTTGTTTTCCAGCCACAGTGCTGATGTCAATCATTTTGCTTTCCAGCCACAGTGCTGATGTCATTTCCTTTTCCAGTCACAGTGCTGATGAAAATCATTTCTTTTTCCAGTCTTCGTGCTGATGAAAATCATTTCTTTTTCCAGTCTTCGTGCTGATGAAAATCATTTCTTTTCCAGTCTCAATACTGATGTAAATCATTCAAGAGTCTCTATTTGGAAGTCTATGACTTTGTTTACCCAGTGGAGTTACAACCTCTTCCTCTGTGGGATTATTGTATAATGTGCTTGGTTTCTCCAGCATAGTCTGTCTCATTCGGCGTCATTCCCCATAAAATTCAAAATATCACATTCATATCATATCATAAACATAATTGCGGTATCTTAAGGCCAAAAATTGTGTATTCTATATTTAAGTCCCTTCAATCTCGTCGAAATGAAGATCCCAATCTTCATATCTCCAGATAGAAGAAACTTAAATAGGGGCAGCTGTTGTACCCCAATTTTTGACCTAAGATCCCATTTTTATTTGTGCATTTTTAAGATAAGTCAAGGTCACGAAATACGGTCGGTTTTAACGTCTCACCTTCGAGCTTCGACTATGTGAAGATTGTCAAGTGTTTTGAACATTTTTAGCCTATGTATCACTAATTTCTAATCCATACAAAGGTGTATGTTCATGTCTTCTTTTGCTTCATGTGCAGAGACAGGTCTGAATCAAGAGCATCAGGTGTCGCGCCTCAATTAAGGTTTTGAGTCTCCCAAGCCAAAAGTACGGTTGATTATGGATTCTCGAAGACTGATTCATCAAGGCACAACTGTCGCACCCCTTTTTTCGCCCCTTCACTTTTTTCGACTGGTGCATATTTTGTCGTTAATTTGAAAAATCAATCATTTCGCATACTTTCTTGTTTTTATTCATCATTTTAATTTCTATTTAAAAAAAAAAGAATTAAAATAGTTTATCATTTGCATTTTTCTATCACATTTCCAATGAATTTGTTTTAGTTCAAAAATCTGTATTATTATTATTTTTTTCTTATTTTAATCTATTTCTATTTCTTTTAGATATTACTAACTATTTTCCCTTTTTCTCATTATTATTATTATTAGTATCTTTATTGCATTTTATTATTTATTGTTACTAATTATTTTTATTTTTGTTCTCATTATTGTTATTATCATTGTTGCATTTTATTATTTTATTTTATTTATTGTTACTAATACTTTTTTTTCTTCTTCTTATATTATTGTTACTATTATGTTATTATTTGTTTGTTTTTTGTCAAAAATAGAGAAAGAAAATTACAAAGTAATTCCATTACAATATCATTCACTACTCTTCAAAGTGTAGGTTTCAAGTGCCTAAAATACAAAATCATTTTCTAACTATTCATCATCCATTATTCAAACTCATTCAATTCTTAAGACATCTCAAAAATATAATTTCAAAGTTCCAAATAACCTTTGTCTCATCCATTTGCAAGTTGCACAAGTTTAAATTCCCAAATTACATCATTTGAAACTTCAGAAATAAAAAAAAAAGAAAAGTCAAACATAAAAGTTTCTAACTCCTAAAGCTATATGAAACCAGGTTTTGAGCTTGTAGCTTTTCCTTGCTGCTTTTTCCACTTTGCCATGCTTCACATCCAAACATAATTGCTTCAAAATAGATCCCACAAAATGTCAAAACAATAGCCAAAAGACCTACTCTGCATATCAGTCCAAACCTTGCTTCAAAATCATCCATACTGTATGCTGCTCCAAACCCTGCATAAGTGCCAAAAAAACAGTCAAATTATGACCTTTCCTTGTCCACAATCCTTGTAGCCATAAAACAAACACAACACTCCAAAAAACTGCACTATTGCCCTGCAAAATCAGATCCCAACCTGCTCCAAAACCTTACTGTCAAACTATCCAAATATGCACCACATCAGTCCAACAATTGCATAAAGATGGTTAAATCAAAATTGCATAAAAAAGGGTTTATGTCTAGACATTAAATCTGTTCGAATTTCACCAACCTTTCTCCCAAATTTCATCATTCTTCTTCTATAAATCAAGAATTCACTTCAGTAGAAAAAAGGTAGGCATCACACACAAGAATACAGAGAAACAAATTCATTATCAAAAAAAATTATTTCAAACTCTTTCAACTCACCTTTGAAAAAATGTTTCAGTGACATCCTATAAACTTTATGCTTCACTCACCGAACACCATCAACAACTCACTGATTTCCCTCACAACAACAGTTCCAAATGCAAATGCACAACAACAGTTCCAACCACCGAAACCCTCTTCCGGTCACGGAACTTCACTCTCTGTCAAAAGAACTCTCTCAACCTCTTACCGCCATTACCGTTCCTCTCCATCATCACAAAACGCCTAGCCCAACAACTTGCTAACCATCAATCTTCGCCAACCACCACCTTCCGTTCTCGCGAGTCCACCTCTAATCAATGACACAACTTCTCCGCACGCAGAAACACATCAATCACAACTTGCCGCTACTCTCCGAGCAACCTCCACGCAACCCACGCCGACCGATCCCTTCAACTGCAGTCAGCAACACCTTCATCACCTCAGTCCTTACCCATCCGCGCCGCCACCTTCGACCGACTCCTCCAACTTCCGCCGCAAATAGATCTGCACCGGACAGCCCCCCGCCACCCGCAACCGTCTCCGCGTCGAAACTTAGGTCGGTACCGTCCTTCATGTTTGGTTCTTGAAATATTGGGTTTTGGCGTTGTATTGCGAAGAGAAGAAAAGTAGGTAGTGAGATAAACTTTTTTTCCTGACTTTGTTTCAACTATATTTGTGTTACATTTTGTTTGATTTTTATTTTTTGTTATAATGTTTCGCCACGTGTCAGCTCCTCATTGGACCTACTTTTTCAAAGCAATTTTTAAGGGATGGGGGGTGTTGAAATGTTGACCGAGTATTGATGATGGAGTAGGCATGCTCACATTTTTTTATTATCATTATTACATTAGCTTAGGATTAATTTTAGTTAGTTTTAAAATAGGTACACTATATTTTAACCTAACAGTAAACCTCATTATGTACAACTAATTTTTATTTTTCAATTTTTCAATTTTTAGTTTTGATTTAAGATAGTAATTTTATTATTAAATAGTTTAGATTAACTTAGTAATTTTATAATGAATTTAGTTTATACTTAAACTAGTTTAGATTTAATTTAACAACTTTAGAATTTTAATTTTACAATTTAGTAATTTTATAATTAACTTAATTTATATTTAAATTAGTTTAGATGTAATTTAGTAATTTTAGAGCTTTAATAGTTTTAGAATTTCATTTGATTTAGATTTAATTTAATAACTCTAGAATTTTTATTCGATTTAGATTTAATTTAGTAACTTTAAAATTTTCATTTTGGTTTAGATTAAATTTAATAACTCTAGAATTTTTATTCGATTTAGATATAATTTAGTAACTTTAGAATTTTATTTGTTTTAGTTTTGACTTAGTAAACTTTAGAATTTTTTGTTTAGTTTTATTTTAGTAACTTTAGGATTTTATTTCATTTAGATTTGACTTAGTAAATTTTAGAATTAGATTTTATTCCATTTAGATTTGACTTAGTAAACTTTAGAATTAGATTTTATTTCATGATTTGACTTAGTAAACTTTTAGAATTTGATTTGATTTATATTTAGTTTAGTAACTTTGGAACTTTCTTTGTTTTAGGTTAGCAACCTTGGAATTTTTATTTAGTTTAGATTTAATTTACTAATTTTAAAATTTTTAATCTAGTTTAGATCTAACTTAGTAATTTTAGAATTCTAATTTATTTTAGATTTAATTTATTAACTTTAGAATTTTAAGTTAGTAATTTTATAATTTTAATTTAGTTTTAGTTATTAACTTTGAAATTTTATTCAATTTAGTTAGACATTTTAGAATTTAAGTTTAGTTTACTTAGTAACCTTAGAATTTCAAATTAGTTTAGATAATTTTTTAATTACACTTTTCTTTTATTCATGATTCTTCTTTGTCCATTCATTTAGTTTCTTACAATTTATCTTGTTATCTACCTTGTTCGTTTCTCGTGGATTTTAATTATTTATGATTTCTTACTCGAATATTAGATCTACCTGCTTATGATTAACTCCAAGGGAAAGAATTAAATTTGTTGATTTCATGTCACCGAACCTATCTCATGCGATTGCGCGAACCCCTTCATTCATTTTTTTGCTTGTTTACTATTTTGCTAAACTTAAGATAATTTTCCCAAAAGACTCCATTTTTAAACTCATACTTTTTAAGTCAAAACTTCGACACTAGGTCGTCGTATCTTCAAAATCTCGTCCATACCCATCTTTTAGCCAAACGAATCATTTTAATCAAACAAACAATTTTAAACCAAAAAACAGATATTTCAAAAGGTTCCTGCGGAGTACCGCAGATACATTGGGTGCTAATACCTTCCCATTGTATAACCAACCCCCGAACTCTCGATCTCTTTCAAAAACGCATTGTATTTTTATTACTTTTAAGTATTATTTTACATTGCATATTTTAGGGTTTTATTTCGCTCTTTTCCCTTTTCCCTTGGAAATAATAAAGCGCGGTGGCGACTCTTGCTTTTGTGAGTCAAGTTAATTAATAGCTTGATCTCCTATTTTCACCGCTACACAAGGCACCAAGGTAGGTTCAACTGAAGAATGTGGCCAAATCATCTCAACGCCCCGCAGAGTAAAACAAGGTTCAGTAGTACTTTCCCCAAGCAGAGTTGGTTCCTCGTCGATCCTGAAAGGACACAACATTCCCCGACAAGTCTTAAAGCTTATCCCCAGTAGATTCTGGAAGCTTGTTCCCTGCAGAATACGGACGTCTCTCCCTAACTTTATTCAGAGTTATTCCTCACGAGGGCTTATAACTGGGTTATCCTCAGCTAATCGCCACGGAAGATCGCCCCCAACAAAGTTCTTTCAATCCCCAGTGGAGTTTATCTTTCAATCCCCAGCGGATTTTATCTCTGGTATCCCCAGCGGAGTTTATCTTTCAATCCCCAACGGATTTTATCTTTGGCATCCCCAGCAGAGTTTATCATCGTTATCCCCAGCGGGATCCATCATTAGAGTCCTCAACAGGCCTCGCATCAAAACTCGGCCAAGTATCTCTTCCACAGAGCAACTTCCCGGCCGTTCGTCAAGGATTTATTTTCCTAAGATGAAGTTACACTCATAAACATTTCACATTTTCATACATCTTGCTTACATACATGATGAAGCGCATACAACACTATCTCATGACTGAGCATCATAACACCATGCATATCATACATCATGACATTGCATACAACTTACGTTTTTGCCTTTTCAGGAAAAAGACAATCCCAAAGAAAGCTACCTTCAACTATCAAATTCCAGACTCGATTCCTGTATCTAGCCAGGGCACGTCTGAAGAGTTCGAAGATTCGATTCCTGTATCCAGCCAGGGCACATCTATCAACTATAACATTTCCAGACTCGATTTCTGTATCTAGCCAGGGCACGTCTGAAGAGTTCGAAGATTCGATTCCTGTATCCAGCCAGGGCACATCTATCAACTATAACATTTCCAGACTCGATTCCTGTATCTAGCCAGGGCACGTCTGAAGAGTTCGAAGATTCGATTCCTGTATCCAGCCAGGGCACATCTATCAACTACAACATTTCCAGACTCGATTCCTGTATCTAGCCAGGGCACGTCTGAAGAGTTCGAAGATTCGATTCCTGTATCCAGCCAGGGCACATCTATCAACTACAACATTTCCAGACTCGATTCCTGTATCTAGCCAGGGCACGTCTGAAGAGTTCCAGATTCGATTCCTGTATCCAGCCAGGGCACATCTATCAACTATAACATTTCCAGACTCGATTCCTGTATCTAGCCAGGGCACGTCTGAAGAGTTCGAAGATTCGATTCCTGTATCCAGCCAGGGCACATCTATTAACGACTATTTCCAGATTCGACTCCTGTATCCAGCCAGGGCACATCTGTGAGCAACCAGTTGTAGATTCGATACCTGTATCCAGCCAGGGCATACCTGCATAAGGAGACTGAAGATCAAACACCTGTAACAAGCCAGGAAAACATCCGTCTTTCTCAAATATACAAGTTCTCGCTAAGGAATCTCTTATGCAATCAACACTTCCAAATGGCATCTGTAAGCCCATTCCCGACAAAGATCTGTCACATCTCCAGATGGCATCTATAAGCCCATCTCCCTATCTACCACCCCTCCAAATGGCATCTGTAAGCCCATTCCTGACATCACATTGCTGATACTTCAACATGCGAGTGCAAATTTCCGGGCACTCTAGTGTCCAATCTCCTTTTACCCTCGAGTCGCGAAAGGCAAACTTGCCAATCTAACTCTTCAGGTTCAAGAAGATTGAACAGGGGCAACTGTTGTACCCCAAAATTTGCCCTCTCTTTCTTCAGGAAAACCATCTTGGATTTTCAAGGTCCCTCTGAAACAAATCCAAGTCCTGAGTTATCCCTTTGCCCAAGCAAGCCGCTTACAAGAGCAAGATGATCTCACGAACTCCAGAAACAACGCTTTCATCTTGAGGAAAATCAAATTCTAAGTGCTTAGAATGTTTCTTTAAAATAAGTGTTTTTAGAAAAAATCAGCGCTTCAGAACTTCTGGACCCATTCCAGATGAAGACGGTCAGAAGTTGCAAGCTTGGCTCAGCGTGGTCAGAAGTTGGCTCTTCAGCAGCTACATCAGTTCAATCAGAAGTTGTAAACGTGGTTCAGAATGTAAGCCTCAAACAGAACATGACCCTTCAGCAGTTACACAAGCTCAGTCAGAATTTGCTAAAGGAATGCAAGAGAAACAGGAAAGTATGAAGACTCCTTCAGAACAGGTTGAAATCAGAAGATGAAAGGTCAGAAGGATAGGTGTCACATTGATACAGAATCTCTAAGTCCAGATTGTCCAGAAGTAGATCCAAGGAACGCACCAGAAAACCAGGAGAATCTCCAGAGCTTGCTAAGACAACAGGTAGCCAAGGCCAGAGCATGGTTTACGCTGTTGATTCAACGCTGATTTCCATTACCAGAATGTTGGTATTGACAGGTCTTGTCACCATTTAATGCCCATTAATGCTTCCAACCACTCCTGAGCATTCACGTGTGGCTTGGAAAATGCTTTTGCACAGATTCTGGCA